CATCCGTCCACGTACACCTAGCTGTACGAGTCCAAGAACGTGAGCATGGCTAACAGTGTCGAATGCTCGACGAATATCTAGGAAGAGTGCAACTGTAATGTTTCCATTGTTGCTTTCGTGTTCAACGGATGTGGTGAGATCTAAAATGCCATTCATTGTGCACCTTCGAGGGCGAAATCCTGTTATCTCTTCGGGGAACGCTTCACTTGTTTCGAGCCACCACTGTATGCGATTATGTATCATCTTCTCAAGTAGTTTACTGACGCAACTTGTTAAGCTTACAGGACGTAATGAATCTAAATTTAACGGCGATTTTCCAGGCTTTAGTAGTGGAACTACCTTAGCCAGCTTCCATGATTCAGATATCTTTTCTGTTCTGCATATTTCATTATATATTTCAAGAAGTGCGGTAGTAGCAGCAGGGCCAAGGTTTGAAAGAGCGTCATAAGTGACTTTATCAATACCAGGAGCTGTTGATTTTAGAATATTTTGTAGCGCGCACTCCATTTCACGGGTGTTAAATTCATAGTCTAGGTCTGTTTGCACTGAGTGCAGCTCTTTCTTGAATGCACGAGTCGCTTTCTCGTGAGAAGAACCGTATTCTATAGAGTACACCGTATAACTTCGTTGCGTTAGCAAAGCACAATATTCATTCGCAATTACTACCTCCGATGTACCTCGAAGGAGAGCTAGAGCCCGGAAAGGTTGTTTTTGTATTACTGGTGTACGGAGAGAACGAAGTATCTTCCATACCTTCGGTATCGGAGTGAATGGAGTTAGAGTACTGCTGAACTGCTTCCATCGGCTAATGGAGAGATTGTGTAGCTCTCGTCGTATTAGTTCGTGAACGTGTTGGGCCTCATTGTAGTCCTCAACACGACCAGATCTTCGATAACGACGTTCTGCTCTGCGCCTTATTGCCCTTAATTTTTCGTATTCGCCATTGACGCCGACGTGTCCACTAGGTACGGTCACAAGACGCGTTGCTCGTTCACAATTGTTTAAAACGGAGATTGCAAATTCCTCGGGTTCCTTTACACTGAGAAGATTCTGAGTGTTGAAGTGCCTGAACATTTCCCAATTTGTAATCCGAACTCGATAATGTTGTCCACGAACATCGAAAATTGGGTGTTGAATGAGAATTGGGAAGTGGTCACTGCCTCGGGTTTCTCTATCAGTCGTCCATGTCGCTTGAGGTGAAATGTCTGGAGAACATAGTGTCAGATCCAAATAGCTGCAATAGGTATGACCCCGGACGAACGTTGGGGACCCGTCGTTGAGGACACAGATGTTGTTCTCGTCCACATATTTTCCCATTAGATTTCCACGTTGATCACAGTGATCCCTCCCCCACATAGTGTGGTGGCCATTAAAATCTCCACATATTATGTAAGGAGTAGAAATGTGGCTGAAAATTGCAGAGAATTCCGAATGGGTTAGCGGAGTCCGAGGTTCAATGCAGACACTCACTATATGCACCATTGTCTCACCACATCTTACCTTGCAAGCAACACATTCTGGAACTTCTGTAGTTGACGAAAACACGGGCACAGATATTATATCTCTCCGTACCGCCAATAACGCTCGGCTTTGGCCGTGTTGGCGAGATGACTTATATAGTACATAATTTGAGTAACAAACTGACGAAAATCGCCTGACTTTTTCCGTAATCCATTCGTGTTTTATTGAAATATTCCTGTATGACTGTATATGTCAGGCATTGGAATAATCCTCAATCATAGTTGCACGTGACTACATAACTAACCTTTTTAGAGTAAATAGCGCTGTTACTTCCGGTAGGTTGTTGGCTGATGGTACAGCATCAAGTATAGCACGGAGAGCTGTAAAAAACATGGGTACCAGTAAATGTTCAACATCACTCGATCTTCGGGTCTCCGAGTATTGCGGATGGTGTTCATGTCGATGAATGCCTTTTTTTAGAGTTCGGAAAGCTGGTACTGGTGTGATCGCTGCTTGCCTGTTTCCTCCAGCAGCCTGACCAGAAGTAGACGTGCGTTGGTGTGATATCTGGCCGTGTTGTTGCCGACGCTTTAGTGCGTCCGAGTACAATGGCCTGGGAGGTTGTTGAGACATCTGGACTTGCTGTGTTGATCGAGGAGGTCGAGGAGGGAGTGGAGGTGAGTGGGGAGGAGGCAAAGGGACAGGTGGTGGGCGTATAATTTCTAGGTTTGGGGACGGGGAGCGATTGTTTTTTATCGGTCCGTTCAGGATCTCATGTTTTCTGGCTGCAGCGGCTGCTTTTTCATGTGGACAGCCTGAATACGAAGCACAGTGTTTTTCTCCGCAATTCGCACATTTTGGGTTGGTTTTGTTCATGCACTCCTTGTAGCTGTGCGGCCTTGCACACACCTTGCATCTCTGTTGGCCACGACAATGTCTTGCAATGTGTCCGTGCCGTTGGCAGCGGAAACATTGTGTCGGGATGCCGAAGTATTCCATCACCGGGTGGCTTGTGAATCCCAGGAAAACCCGGGAGGGCATCGGCTGATCCTGCGGGAACTGAAGCAGGACACTTTCCGTTGGCTCTTGCTCCATGGAGCCGTCTTCTTTCCTTGAGTATGAAATTTGCCGCTGGACCACGATGATACCAGCATCTTTTAAGTAGTCGAGTAGTTCGAAGTCTGAATATTAGATTGGGATATTGTTGATCTTCCCAACATTACGGGTGTACGACTCGGAGACGGTCACCGACACGTCTATTTCGACCAGGGATTTCATCGCAAGTAGTCTGTTTGTCGCGTTTAGTGATGCCGCATTGACGGTGATGGTGCCATCCTTTCTTATGCGTGGGGCGAGTACCTTCTCTTGTGATACTGCTACAATTTCTTTTGCAATCTTGTTTGGATTGCTTTTCCAGAAAGAAGCCCCGGGTTGCTTTGGCTTGATAATCAAGGGGTTCCAGCTGGGCGGTTTTTTCGCACGGTGACTTGTGTGAAATCAGTCCCGTCCTGAATGTCATTATTTTCGTCATTAATTGAGTAGGTTGATGTTCTTGCATCCATATTTTCTTGAGGGAGTTGCGAGCATTGTTTCTTCAATGGGATATCATTATTGGAGTCTTCATTCGCCGTTGGCTGGCCTTGTAATGGTAAATGTAGTTCCATGCCTGGGGTGCTATGTTGCGCTTTTTGGACTCCCAGGAGACTAGGGAGAGGGAAGTGACGTCAACAACGCAGCAAATGCAGATTGGATGCAACGAGCTTGAGTAAACTTAGAGCGGTAAACCAGCGGCCAAAAATGGCACCCCCCCGGTTGCCGCCATCTTGCCTGTTTGCCACATTAGTGATCACGTGACGTTAAGATGGCTGCGCCCAGTGGTGGGCCAGATCAGATTGGCCAGATCACGGTCAGCAGGTGGGCGAGATGGGCACTCTGGGGCTGCGTTCCAATCTTACTCGAATGGGTCCGCTGTTCCGGCGGATCAAGTCACGTGACGAGACAGATACAGCAATTGCTGGACGCGGGTAGGTTTTCGAACGCAATGGGTACGAGACCTTCACCCAAAAGTCACATAGAAGCTGCGTTCCATTTACCTGCACCTTCTGCACCGGTGTAGAAAAGTGTAGGGCGACTGCCCTACCCTTTTCTGCACCGGTGAAGGAGGTGAGAGTAAATCGAACGCAACTTTATCTCACTCCTGGGTGAAGGTCTCGTACCCGTTGCATTCGAAAACGTACTCGCGTCCAGCATTGCTGCATCTCTCTCGTCACATGACTTGATCCGCCGGAAAAACTCGGATCCATTCGAGTACGAATGGAACGCAGCCTCAGAGTGCCCGTTTGCTGACCGTGATCTGGCCAATCTGATCTGGCCCACCTCTGGGCGCAGCCATCGTAACGTCACGTGATCACTAATGTGGCAAACCGGCAAGATGGCAGAAACCGGGGGGGGGGGGGGGGGGGGTGCCATTTCCGCTGCAGGCAGTGGGTTCCGGTTTACCGCTCTAAGGTAAGACTCAAGCTCGTTGATTGGATGTTGATTTTGTTTTCTTCTGTCACCATCCAATCTGTGTTTGCTGTATCGTTGACGTCACTTCCTTCTCTCTAGTCTCCTGGGAGTCAAAAAAGCGCAACATAGCACCCCTGGAACTTGGCTTGTGGTAGCCACGGCATTCATGTTAGTGTCCGGGGTCAAGGTTTCAAGAACCGCGTCATCGAGGCGGAGCGACTCGGTCTCTAGTTGTCGCTTCTTAGCCGACAGTGTACCTCTGCAGGGTCCAGTGACTAAGTGATTGCTCGCGGTAGCCAAAACGATCGGAATAGGGTGAAATAATTAAAGCTTACAGGAGGAGCGAGAAATCGGTGCTTCTTGATCCGATCGTCGTCGTCGTTTTTTTTTTTCAAACCTTAGTGTACTATAGGCTTGATATAATTTGATAGTTTTTGATATAATAAATGGACATGTTACAATAATTTGCGCGAAGTTGTGTGCCACGTAACAACATAATTTTTTTTTTTTTTTTTTTTAATTGTTTGAGCGGCATCATGCAGCAGACGACGCCGCGCAGTGGAGGACGGTCGCTCGGAAGCTACGTGCGTCGACGATCCCTCACGCTGTTCGGAAAACGCGCGAAAAAGACGTCACACCATCCACGTGACCTGCTCCGGCCAACCCAAAAAGTCCATCTCCGCTGCGTAAAAAAATCATCCGCTTCAAACGCCATTGCCTTGGAAATTGCCTTCTCAAAATTTTCACACGCATTTAATATTATGAAAACTTTGATAAAGTGTTTAGTCCTTTGTGAGCATAGCACGCGGATCAAATTATTGCGTTACTCTGCTCATAGATCTATGTCAGTGGTTTATGTACAACTAACCCATTGTTGCGGATATATTTGAAAAATGATTAGAACTTAAAATTTGATTAGTTTTAACGAACAAACTAGTTAATCGAGCTGATCGGACATCATCAGGCTGGGCGGCACGGGCAGCGCTGCATTCGCCGTCTATGATCATCATCATCAATTAATTGTTGGCACGGCGTCATTTTTAAAAATGGCGGAAGAACTAAGTTCTAAGCGCTTATCGGGCAATAATCGTCAAGCTAACCAAGCTCTGTGTGCAAGTAGCAACTTGATGGAGTTCGAAAAGTATCGCGGAATGATCAGATGGTATATAGACAAGGTAAGGAGCCTTTAGAAAGCCGCAGAATGTTCCACTCTGCATGCGCGACTTTGGTAAACACTTGTAACTGCTTGTAAGAACCTGAGATTGGGCGAGTTTGTCGACGTTTAGCGCACTCGAAAAACTGTCACTCAAGCATTCACACACCCAAAGAACACTCCTCTCACACAGTGCTCACTAGCAACTTTGTATTGCGTGTTTTACTTCGGCTTCTACTTGTAACTGCTTGCTGACGCAGTTTTATCAGTAATAAAACCTGGACGCCTGCTATGTTAGTAACAAATACTCCGATTCTCTCTGACATGTATCGTCCAGCACCAGTACTCGAGCGCTTTGTTCTGGGCGGACAAGGTAGCCACGCTATCCAAAGGTAAACAAACCTTGCGTCAAAGACGTCCAACACTACCGAATAAACTGTCTCCTGACATCGATGCATCGTTTCAGAGAACACGCAAGACATTTACTGCCTAGCGCAGTGTCTCTACCTGACGAAGCAGTACCACAGGGCCGCACACTGCATCCAAAGTCGAAATTTGCACATGGTATGAAACACATTTTGTGTACTGCATTTGCCGATTTACTAACATACTCGTTCCTGTCCAACAGAAAGACCTCAGGTGCAAGTTCTTGGCCGTTTCGAGCCGCGTGAGTTATCTTATTATACTGGGTACATTTTGAAAACTGAGAATTTACTTAGAAGTTAATATTTCAGTTTGCCGGCAAAGAATACAGGGAGGCTCTGGAAATCTTGGAAGCACCTATTCCAGAACGTGTCGTCATTCCTGATGAGGGAGACCTGGAGCAAAGACAGGTAAGCATGGTCTCTTAAATATCATTCTCTGAGGTGGTGCTCACACACTAAATGTTATGATTATACAGGGTGCGGCCCTTGCGGCCACACCCTGTATATATGTTGTAAGAGAGCACGGGTCGGTGTTGTGGGCACACTAGTTGCATGGGCGTCAGCCTTCCCCCAACACCGGCACTCCTTTACATTTTACCTCCCAAGTGCAATAAACATCATCATATCATATCATATTCATTCCAAATGTAGATACCTGAAACTGGGCACACAGATGTCATTTCACCAAAAGTGAGCCTATTTTGCCGGCAGCTGGCAGAGCAGTCCGTGCTAAAAAATGCCGGCAGTTTCCTCCCATGGCTAGCTGCAACCATGTGACTATACTGCCAGCATATTTTTGTGGGGGATAGCGTGCCTGTAGCTGGAATTATTTATAATCCACCCTAATAGAGGCTTTTAGCAAACCGTTCCCGCTGCCTACACTATTGAAGTCTTCGCAGTATGCTTTTAAGTGCACGCCCAGGTGGTACCATGACTGTGGGGTGCACGCTTAAAAGCATGCTTCATAGGCTTCGGTAGTGTGGTACGTGGAGCAGGGTTATTGGTTTGCTAAATGTCCCCAATGATGCATACGCAATGAAATGTCTTTACAGCAAACAATTTGAGTAACATGTGTCAATGAAACGTTTGTGTCGACGAAACCTGCGTCTATCACTGGGGCACGTGTTAACCTTCCCGACCCACCCTTCATATGCTTTGCGGCGACGGTTTGCAGCAGCTGATTACAAAAATGTTAACCCACCTGGCCCAACTGCACATGCCTGCTTCGCAGCAACTTCACCCCCTTCCCCCGCCCCTCTCACTCACTGGCAGACCAGTGATATCAATACACCACAAACTGCACGGAGGCACCAAAGTAACGTGATTGCTGCCAGCCAATGATAGGACACTGCTGTCAGTATTGCTCCAGAGCTGCTGTTCCAGTTGCCAGTGATATATCCACTTACAAAGTTTTGTATCTTTTTCTGAGAGCTCTACTCAGAGCTGGTGAAATTAACAAAAAAAATAGAGAAAAAACGACGGCCATGCATTTCCTACGCCTTTTAACGGTAAACAAAAGCAAACTTAACAAACTTCTGGGGTCAGTATATTGCACCTGGTTGGCCATTATTTTTGCTTGTTTTTGAGGACCCACAGTGAGCAGCGCATACTTTAGTCTAGGTGCCGAAGTCCAGCTGCAGTACCTTAAGAAATTTACTTATGCTGGATCGACACCCCCTCCTGATCCCTTGGATGAGAAGAGTAAGCACTTGTTCCTCAAATAACAAATCTGCCAAAGATATCGGAATGTTTTATGAAAGTCAGAACGTCAAAACCCCTAAACCCCCCCCCCCCTCCCTCCCCTTCCCTCCCTCCCCGGGGTACGGCCCTGGGCAGAACTACACTTTGTTTCGCTCTAACTTGGAGCACAGAGAATGCCATAGGCTGCTTCAAGAAAGCGCTTGGGGAGCAAAGCATTACTTCCACATGCTTGCTTGGGCACTGGCGGCGACTTTTGATGCTGAGAGCTTGTGCTCATGACTGTGTGAATGGTTGGTCTTTACTTGTGATCACTGGACAATAAGCAAAAACAGATGCCTAGCCTATAAATAGAGAAAATGAAGGGAAGATAAAAATGAAGTAAAGACAGGCATGTTTTGTGTATATTTTTTCAATAAGTGTGGCAGCACACTTGACAAATTATTAATATTTACACATTTTTAATTTGGAACCCGGCACAAACTTGGCATGCTACGAAGGGATTGTCTTTAAGAGCTCAGATTTTTAGCTCCTGTGGGGCCGTTGAAATATTGAAAAAGTCTAGTTGTTGAGTTTTTATCAATGTTTATCTAAGTTTCTTCTCTTCTTTGCTTTGTTGCTTGGCTGTGAGTTGTCATTGAAGTTGCAGTCTGGTGATAGCACTAAGAAAACATATGTTTTGATTCCTTTCCAGCTGGAAGCCTCTCTGCAACTCCTGAAAGGGAAAACTTATGAAGCTATTGACAACAGGATGCTCGCTGCTGAGTGCTACAAGAAGGCACTTAGGTTGGACATTCACTGCTATGAAGCCTTTGAAGCATTGGTAAAGCACCAAATGCTTTCAAAAGAGGAAGGTAGAGATGCTAACCTTTTGCAAGTTTTGTTAATGAGAAGCTGCTTGATGCCTTAACTCAGCGTTTCTCAACCACTGATATTTGGCAGACCCCTTGTGGATCGGCGGAGATGATGGAGGACCCCGGTCGTGGTGAGGGGAAGGTAAAGTTATTGGTTAATTATGATAGTGATTTATTAAATGGATATAACTAAGGGCTAGTATGAAGTAGATTTCTCTTAGTCACATATATACGAAAAAACGTACCCAAAAATTGGAACGTTTATTCTTAATCCGATAAAAGACAACTTTTATTGTAAAGAGACAGGGCTTTGCGGACCCCTTTGAGAACCACTGCCTTAATTTATTATTAGAGCAAGTTTTCCTGGACAAATCATATTCTTGAACATTCTCTCCTACAGGGCTCTGTGCCCAACTTTTTGCTTTTTTAGTTCTCATATATAATTGATTGATAGATTGAACACGCATATATTTTTGTGAAAAGGTTCGCCTGCTTATGGCTTGGTTGTCCTGAAATGGGAGAGATTGGGGTTAAGAGCTGAAAGGAAAGGGAGGGGGGATGTTGTGATTATACTTTTAATACATAAAATGATGGACCCCTGAGTCCCTTATATAATATATGAGAAAATATAGGATTTGCTTTTTGTGCTGGGCCTGTCCCTTGGGATGGGTCTGATCTTCCAGCTGCTTTGGCTTTGTCTTGCTTGATAGTGAGTCCCGCGCATTCTGTCGAAAGTCCTTGAGCCCTTGCAGTTCCAGAAGAGATGAGTCATAGTCAATAACGCTCGTACGGTTCATGCCTTGCTCACAGGATCAATGCCCTCCTGTTAGTCTTCCTTTCTACTAAAAGCTGCTTTCGTGCCAATGCCATATATATGAGGCCATGCTTAAAACAAATGAAAGCAAATAATGGTTGTAGAGTGCTGAGCAGCGTAGTGCAGTGGTTCTCAAATGGGGTTCCGCATACCCCAAACGGTCGGCGAAGGCATTCTAGGGGTCTGTGAAGCCCAGCCTCATCAGTAGAGCTCGGAAATAAAAGTTGTCTTTTCTCAGACTGAGAAGAAACATTCCAATTTTCGGGTGCCTTTTCTCGTGTATACAACAATAAGAGCAGTTTGCTTCGCACTAGCCCTTAGTTAGATCCCTTTATTAAATCACTATCATAATTAACCTATAACTTCCCTTCCCCGCACCATGAACGGGGTCCTCCATCTTCTCCGCCGATCCACAAGGGGTCCGCGAAAGATCAATGGTTGAGAACCACTGGCATAGTGCATGCCTGAAAATTTGGTTAACTGTTGAAATTTGATCTTTGTTCATTCCAAGCTGCATGCTAACTGACTGCTCCCAGAACTCAATAGCAATAAATAAGCATATGACATCCTTTTTTTTGCGAGCTTGGTTGCTTCCAGTGCAGTTAACCTACCGTAGAATACTGCGCACCCGCCCATTCCGCATTAAGCGCCCATCACCAAATTTGTAAGATCTGAGAAAAAACGCATAGTATATTTATATGTAAAATTGATGACGGAGAAGTGCCTATCCCCCTTTTTTTTTTTCAATTATCTCCAAAGTATGAGTGGGCGCTTGCCTGATATTTTACGGTAGATATAAAGAGAACTATGCTAGCATTGACTAGGTAAAACAAAAATATAGGATGGCCGACGCTGTGCTAACCTTTGTGAATACAAATGTATTTGCTGCGTTTGGTGCGAGCTGATAGGACGAGGGTGCCACAGTTCTTCGCATCCCAGTATGTATATTTGTCCTAAAATGCATTGCGATCGAGAAAGAGAATCTTTAACCGACAAATGAATAATTTGAATACATTTGAGGTAATCTGCATGTATCTCAACGAAGCATCTCAACAAGGGACATGGAACAAAAATGAAAGGAGATAAAAACCGGAAGTGCACAGATCTGCTGATAGGGAGTGGTGGAGAGCTTGTTTACGAAAAAAATACCAGTGAATAAGGTTCTCTCCCTCACTTCTTTAGTCATGTATATTGTTGGTGAGTGTGTGCCGTGTTATTTTGGTCTGCAACATTCAGAATTCTGCCTACCGTGTGCTTTCTCTGTCTTCTGTCCCGAGTTTCGGCACCGTTTGTTGCTTAATTCTGGAATCGTTCTCAAAACTAAACACTTCTATTTAATAAAGACTGCGGGATATTTACAGAATACACGGGGAAGGTCTGTTCGATGGTGTATCCTCGCAATCTTGCTTTCTCCTACCAACTTCTTCTTTCTTCCTCTTGTGACACGCATTGCAATCGCAAAACTACTGAGAATCCACAGTATGCCGATAACGAGCTTCCACTAATGCATTTTACGCTGTCAAAGTTTTTATTCCTTCAGTGACTTTAGCTGCAGTTCAAGCTATTGACTAAGTATTAATATTACCTCCTGTTGTATAGTTGAATGCTTCATAATGTAGCTTAAAATTATGTTCATGATTGCAAAAGCTGAAGATCGGGAAAGCATGGAACAGAAATAAGACACTCAATTGTCTCGGGTTCTTGTTTTGCTGAAAGTGCTATCATGAGCACTGTGATAGGGAACACGGGAGCACTGGGCCATTAGCCTTAAACCCTGCTTGTAGCGAAGCGTGGTAGCAACTTTTCTGAAAACTGTAAAATAGCCTTAGCTAGGTATATGGCCTTAACTGGGCTAATGACAAGACAGCCATTCGAAGCGTCCGAAACAGTCGAGGTTTCTTTTATATCATCACGAAAGCGCAGCCAGCTCTCGAGGCAAAAGCATGCGCTCGTGCACAGCGCTCACTGACTTCCCTGCCGGCCGTTTGCCGGTAGAGCACATCTGCTGTCTTTGCTGTCATGTGGAGCTGTTGATATGCCTGAGTGTGATCCAGCGTCGAAAATATGGTGCCTCCCTGCACACTTGCCAGCAGGTCTGTTACAGTTGGCATTGGATACATCGTCGGTTTTGCAGCTGCATTCACCGTGCTTCTAAAGTCTCCGCACATCCGTATAGTGCCGTCCTTCTTTTGTACGATCACCACTGGTATTACCCAGTCAGAGTGCTGCGTCGGCTCGATTATGCCTTGGTTTCGGAGCATCTGCAGTTCTGCCTCCGCTGCGGTGCGCATCGCGAAGCGATCCGGTCGAGCCTTTAAAAAGCGCGGTGTCACATTTTTCTTCAGCTCCAGATGTACCGCATGGCCCTTGTGCCCATTTATCTCTGGATCAAAAAAATTCCTCGTGTGTCAGCAACACGTCATAAAGGGTCTTGCCCTGGTCAAACTGGTATATTCCGCTGACTCTGATATTGAGTGCCGGGAACCAGTTTCTTCCAAGCAGATTGCCGCCCGAACCTGAGGCCACAATTAGTGGGAGCAGATAGTCTTTTGACTTGCGTCGGACACGGACTTCTGCTAACCCGAGAACTTTTACTAGTTCTTTTCTTGCTCATGGTTGGAGCATATGTTCCTTGTTCAGTGGAGGGGCATTCTTTGGCCAGGTTTTTCTGTATGTGTCCTCACTGAGGATGGAATATGCAGCTCCGGTGTCCACTTGGAACTCCGTGGGTTGAGTGCGACCATATACTTCTTAACCGACGTAGTGTAACTTGCACTGTTAAGCTCGTATAAGTCTTGGGTATCCTTGTCCTCACTTGAACGTGCCGACTCATCATGACTAACCACTTGTGTTGATCGCTGCTGTTGATTTGTTTCGGTCTTCTGGTAACACGCCCTTTCAATCTGTCCGGTCTTTCGGGAAAAATTGCAGCGTGCTGTGCAGAATCTGCATGTAGCTGCGACGTGTTTTTCCTGGCAGCGATGACATCGTTGTTCACTTGATACGAAGTCCTGTTTCTCTTACTTGCAGTTCCGGTTTTCACGTGCTGTTCATCTTCGACCCTTGGTTGTCTAATGGTGGTCTTTCGAGCTTTGACATCTTTTTGTTGTCTTGCAGCATTCCCTGCTCTCAATGCTAAATCATACGCTTTCTGGTATGTTAGTTCCGGCTTTGCAAATAGACTTTGCTGAAGGTGTTCGTCCGCAGTCCCGCATATGAACCTATCCCGGAGCATCACCTCCAGTGGTAGCATTGTTGTGGACGATACGGTGACAGGCTCACCGCCGCTCGCACAGGTGCTGGTGCTGGTGCTGGTGCTTGTGCTGGGGCTGGCGCTGGTGCTGGCTGTTGTTTGCGCTAGTGCGGTTGTCAGAACTCCAAAGTTGCAGTCGACGGCGAGCTTCCTTAGTGCCGCGACATAATCACTGATGTACTCGCTTGTCTCCTGGTCTCTCCACTGAAACTTGCTTTTGCTAAAGAGCTCGGACGGTTGCGGGTCGAAATGGGTGTGCAGCATCTTCATTATGTCGTCGTAAGCCACTTCACCAGGCTTCTTAGGTGCCACCAATGCTCGCACCATTTCATAGGTCTTGGCATCGCACAAGGTGAGGAGAAGTGCCCTCTTCTTCGTAACGACAGTTACCCCATTCGCTTCAAAGTAGAAATTCAGTCATTCCGCCCACAATGACCACCCGGTGCCGTCGAATTCTTCCAGCTTATCCTGGGTAGCTGGCATCGTGAAGACGTCTGAAGATGCGTGGTCGTTCGCTCACTACTTCGTCGCCAGTGTAAAATAGCCTTAGCTGGGCTAATGACGAGACAGCCATTCAAAGCATCCAAAACGGTCGGGGTTTCTTTTATATGATCACGAGAGTGCAGCCAGCTCTCGAGGCAAAAGCACGCGCTCGTGCGCAGCGCTAGCAGACTTGCCCGCCGGCCGTGTGCCAGTAGATACATCACAAAAACAAGGTGGAGAGAGCGGCGTGGTTCCATCTGCTGCCGGCACCCTTGCCACTGACGGCTTACTTCTTTCACGGCACCTGATAATGGTGTGGTGGCATGCAGTGTGACAGAGTTCGAAATAGAACAAACAAAGAAAATGTGTCTATTGCTTGGCGATAACTGCCTCGTTTGATTGATCCATACATAAAAATAGAACAAAGAAGTAAAAGCTATTTGAGTATTTATCACTGTTGCCAAGCGCATTTTGAATCACGGCGGTATCGTGCCATTGCCATCGTTAGCAGTTGGCGATTAGATGCCCCACACAAGAAGCAAGTTGCCTGTGGCCAGAGTGCCGGCAGCAGACGGGTCCATGCCGCTCTCTCCGCCTTGCTTCCGAAAGCCACCCCCGTCTACTGCCACAAGCCAGGCTTGAGGCTAGTAGTAGCAACGGCACAAATAGACAAGGACAAGAAAGGAGGAGACACATGGAAGGAAAAACATGTGCTCTTATTTGTCCTCCTTCTGTGTGTCTCCCCCTTTTCTGTCCTTTTCTTTTTTACACTGTTGCTGCTGTTACAAACTACCTACTTGCCCATGCTTTCATCTTAACAAGCTTAAGGGTTATTTGCCATGTGCTCCTGCATTGACTCTTATGCTGCTCACAATACCATGCCAGCGTACCTGTGCGTTTGGTGTGCTCCTGGCAGTTAACTCCTCTTTGTCTTTCAGAGGAAAGCCTCCTGAATCTACTCACCATGACACTAACCATCTCTGCGGAGGACAATGAATTTGTCAGGCTACTCTATGAGACCAAGGTCAAGAAAGTAAGCTTCGGAAGCCACCTTATTTTTACGGTTTATGTATTTGGGGTAGCGAGCATATTCGGGGGCTTTAAAATTCATGGGTATTGGCTCCTGGTCGCTGGCTGGAACTACAGTGAGTTCTGACGGTGGTGGGCATTAATTTTCCACCGCTTGGCGGTCGAAGAATGTCAGCTTATATATTGTATAAATTTTAAGGGCATAATTAAATAGTCTTGCATGTATGTAAGCCAGTTTTATTCTCATTGACTCGAGATATCCCTTTTGCTTAGATATGGTTGTGGTGGTGTGGGTTCTTCAAGGGGTTGCAATATGTCTGTATGTAAGTGGAAGACACTTAAGGAGAGATGCAAGTAGAAAAACGGCAATATTTTGCAAAATATTTGATTTTTTGTTGTTAGGATGTTTTATTATTTTTGAATCTTTATATGTGATATATAAAAAAGGAAAGATGTTTGCAGATCTTTGTAACGCGAAATTAGAGTGCAGCTCTTGAGGAGGAGGAGGGCAGGGTACAGGGGGAGGGTATGCCCCCCTCCTTCTCCCTACCCTCTTTTCCTTCTCCTCCTCCTCTCCCCTCCCCTCCTCATTTCCTCCTCCACCTCCTTTCCTCCTCCTCCCCTATACCCTCCCCTCCTCCTACTGCATACCCTCCCATCCTCCTCCTCCCACAGTTTCCCCTCTAAATTTAGCTGAAAAATTGACGCCATGTGACCTCAACACCAATTCAGTTTCCCTGCTAAATTTAGCGGGGAAAATGACGTCCTGTGACTTTGTGTCATGTCGCCTACGAACAAATTCAATTTCTCCGCTAGATTTAGCAGGAAAATTGACGTCACGAGACCTCAACACCAGTTCAATTCCCAAAATTTAGTGGGAAATTTTCCCGCTGAATCTAGCGGAGAAACTGAATTTGTCTGCAAATCTAGCGAAGAAACTGCATTTCCCCGCTAAATTAACGGGGAATTGAGTTGGTGTTGAGGTCATGTGACGTCAAGTTTCCCGCTAAATATAGCTTGGCTACGACAACGCCGACGCCGCAGAACATAGAAACGGGCACCTAAGAGCTGCGCTCTAATATAATTAGTGCCAGTTATGATCGCATAATTAGTCAAATACGCATTTCAAGACCTCCGTGCAACCCAGAACGGTATGAATTTGATCATATTTTTACTGCGTGGTCTTCAACTTGTGACATTGCCCGCCATCAGATTTACGTTGACAAGTGGGCCTAGCCGTTTCCTTTCCATTTCAGCCTTCTGTATCAATTTGTCGCAAAAATTTATTAACAAAATATTTTACAAAAATTTATTAACAATGTTATTTTATGCACCGTGAAAGAGTATAGCTGCACATCTATGATAACATTCAAATGCATTTTTCTTTTTGTGTAATTTTGGGGCATCTTCCCAGTTTGTGCACAATAATTCCTGTTCTTAATAGTCCTATCAAAACCGAATTTGGCATGCATCTACTTCAGAATACGTAAAATGCTAGAATGCAACTATCTAGGTTTGGTTAAAATGTATATTTTTAGATTATTGAAAAATTTCAGAAACTTTTGTTAGCCCCTGGCAATAGAATTTTTGCTATTTTTAAATGAAAGAAGCATCACACACATTATTTTTGTTGTTCATTGCACTCAGTAATTTAAAAGGAACAAATTAGTTTATTTTACTAGGCTTTTATGCCTCACGTGTGCATAAGAACATGGTTTTTCTGCATGTACATTGCATTGAAAACCTAAAAAAAGAGCTATATCAAATCTAACACCAGATATATGAAGAGAAGATTAGGCACCATAAACTAAAAATTTCATTTCGATTTTGTAAATAAGAAAAAATGACAGGAGGACACTTAAGACTGCTCAAGTGTAGGAATGCGAAAGCATTAAAGTCCCTCGGGTTAAATGTTTTCGAGTGAGGCTTCTACACGTATTAAAGGCTTCACGGCTTTCGTGACGAAGCATCTGCGTTGCCGCGCACATATCGAGGGCAACATCAAGGATGGCGCTTAGGACGACGTCAAGCACGACATCAAGAACGACGTCTAGGATGACCTCTAGTACGACCTTTAGGACGACATACTGAACGACGTCCTAGAGATCGATGCCAAGTACAGTATCTAGGAGGACGTCAAGGACAGCGTCTAGGACAACGCCGAGGGCAACCTCTCGGACGACCTCAAGGATGACGTCGAAAACAGCATCTAGGATGACGTCGAGGATGACATCAAGAAGAACGTCTAGGACGACCTTAAGGATGACGTCTAGGACGACGTCGATAACAGTGCCTAGAGGACAATGTCTAGGACAATCTCTGGGGCAAACCCAAGGATGGCGTCATCCTTGAGCATACGATAACATGTGCTAATGTCAGGCCAGCGCATAGCTGCGTCCCCCCCTCCCGCTGTTCCGCCAGCAGTTCGGCTGGCTCCTTAGCAACAATGATGCTGTTGCTATGGAGCCACATGACGCGTTGCAGCCAATGGGAATTTAGGTGCCGTTTTTGGTGGACAGACAACGCTGGCTTCGCTCCAAAAAAAAGCTAATGCTTTTGCATTAAAAAAAAATTTCCCTGGTGCATGTCTTTTTAAACATGCACTAAAGGACATTTTGAGATCGTAGTTTTATTGTCATAATTCAATCTATGATTTCTAAGCGTCCTAAAAAACTTGCAACTACATTAATTTGTGCCCGATTTGCATATTAAAAAGGTAATCAATGATCAGTGTTGGTGCAGAACGACAGATGGCACCACCGAACCTTGCTGAATATGGTTGAACGACGGATGGCGCTTATCAGTCACCTGCGAGTAATGGGTTGCTGTGTGGACAAGCAGGACTGGTCGGCCGCTCGGCTACACGGGATCCCACCGCTTGCGAGTGGCTGACAAGCGCCGTCTGTCATTCGACCATATTTAGCAAGGTTCGGTAGCGCCATCTGTAGTTCTGCGCCAACGGTAAGAGTCGGGAACTTTAACCACATTTTTAATATGCAAATTGACCGTGCAGGAATGTAATTCGGGTTTTTTAGGATGCTTAGAGCACATACATTGTGTTATAACCATAAAATGAGGTTCTCAAAAAATACTTTATTCCCCCTTTAAAAAAAAACATGGGAGATTACAGCTTTTTGGTGAGTTCTGTCTATTGAGGGAGGTATGCATACAAAAAGAAAAAAAAAATGGTTGTCTTCAACACTACAGTGATGGAAGGGTTGCACCATTTGTGCCAAATTGCACCGTCAACGAGTCTGCTACATCTCATGCCAAAATGCCTTTTTTGCAAAGAATTGCGTCAGACCTATGTTGAGACGGGCTTTAGCGAAGAGAAAAATATATTAATGGTCAACCCTAATATCTTTATAAAAGTAAAAGGGAAGGAAATTGGTATAAATAATTTTACTTCATTTTGAATCAAGGTGAAACGAAATATAGAGATGGCTTGTCAACTGCGCTGGCCACGTCATCTTCTGAACTTCCAGTCGATATCGGCGATGTCAGGAGCTTGTAGTCGCGAGAAAAATGAGCAAGATACTGGTGTGGCGGCTACTGGGATGTTAGACAGAACCAGTGTCTTTTATGAGATTGCTTGATTATCGTGTCTGCCACATGCCTCCATGCCGTGGCTATATTCTGTTTCATGATGACTTGGTGAACTGTGGAGGCTGTGGCCCTGCGATCCAATAAGAGCGTTGGAGTAAGCCACGTGATAACACCCCATGGTCAAGGTCAAGAAGGCCTCATTACCACCACAGTAACAGCACCATCCACGACAGAAAGTAGTTCTGGTTCTTTCTCTTTTAACGGAAATTGAGTGAATTAATATATTCTTGACTAAAATTAATTAAAAATAATGATTAAATATTGGCAAATTTATGAGTTTCAGTTACAGGTATTTTAATAAAATATTTACTTTACATCCATATCCACTCCCAATTTTTTTCTTTTTGTAAAGACGTGGCCATTGGCAATGGCAGCCGTGTAATTGACTCTGCTTCCACTGAAAACGTTGTCCTGGCATTAACACCTACCACAGATTTGTGGTAAATTGAGCATAAGGTTATCTCTGAACTGTTCCTGAAGAGCTTGTTACTTTAGCAGACAACGACGTTGCGGCAGTGGACGTTCATCCGAAGTTTGTTGGTTTCCCACCAGGCGACAGTTGGTTCCTTAGCGCAGTAAGACACGCGCTCCTGTGATGTGTTGTCACGTGCCTCGCTCCGGCGCTCTCATTGGGGCGCGGGGGCCGTAGCTTCCACAGTTCGCCACGTTATCGTGAAACGGAGTATAGAGCGTACCGTGGCACTTGTGCCACTTGCATGAACCTTCCCAGCTTTGCACCAGGGTGCTAGGAGCAGCGGCTAACATGGGGAAGCGCCTGGGTTAGCGCGACGGGCTCGGAAATAATGGCCAGTACTATTACAAGTCGGTCTCCTTTGACCGCCATTATAGATTGATCTCCAATTTTAGAAAGCTGTGCCAAAAAAAAGAGAAAATGCATATCTATATTTAATTAAATACAATAGTCAAGGCGAAAGGGCAGCAAACTCTGACTCAACTCTAACCCAAAGCTGCTAAAGCGCAGTGTCACTTTTAAAGCACAATTGTAGGTTTTTCTAATGTTTAAAGATGGTTATTTTTGCTCATTTTTTAAAATAAACTTGAGACGACGGACGAAGAAAAGGGCAAACACAGAATGTCTCAAGATGAATATACATATATATTGAGACGTTTTGTGTTTGTCCCCTTCTTCATCTGTCATTTCCAGTTTCTAGAGCACAGCTCTTAGGCACCTGTTTTTGGCTTGAGCGGTGTCGCTGTCGCCGTCGCTGTCGCCGTCGGTGTAACCGTGCGATGTATTATGGGAAATGTCCCATAATGAAACGCGCGGGACTCATGACGTCAGATGTGACGTCACGAGTGATGTCACAAGGGTCCCACGGGAGGGAGGAGGATGGAGGAGGAGATGAGGAGGAAAGGGTATGGATGAGGAGGAAGGGCATACCCTCCCCTCCTCCTCCTCAAGAGCTGCGTTCTAATTCGGCGTTACAGGATGTTGTAAACGTCTTTCATTTTTTTCACAAATGTGTAACATCAACCAGCTTGCCTGTTTACTGACTCTTCCTTCTTGTTTTTACAGTTTATTATATTAGAATCTTGAGTTTGATTGGTTCATAAAACTTGGGGGGACATGTTTTCATTGATCAACATTTTAGTAGGTACGCTTGTTCTTGCAGGCATTTTACAGATATTATATTTACAGGCTAAATGAACTATGAGAGTGAAAGAGGCTTTATCTCAACTGGGGATGTGTTCTGTTATAATTTAATTTTAATATTGTTTTTTTCTTAGTACCCATTGTAAATGAAACCTACTCTGACCTGAGACTTATTTTTAAGAAGAAAGTCATGTTCCTTTTGCATCCTATACATTTTTATTATACCAGGTAATAATTGATATTCTCCAATATCAAAGAGGAACCCTCATTGAGGATTGAAACTCATTTATTGATTTCAAGTGATATATGCTAACAGATGTTGGCATCTGCTTCAAAAGCATCAGTGGCTGCTCCCAACCAATATTTTGCCTGCCACAAGAACCGCTACAGAAGCTCAAGTGCTGCTTCCATCACTGACAGTAGAAAATAGGGAGGAAAGAAAGTGAGGAAGTAGATGGGAACTTTGTTGTGAGAGTTGCAAAGAAAGTGAAAACAAGTAATCATGCAGTATCTTTTTTTTTTTACATTTTAGTTATGAGCAAGTTAGTCCCCATTAAACCATCATCAGTAAGAGTTAATTTTTTGTGTTTCATTTTGGCCATGATTATTTACCAGACGTTTCGAGATGCTTGCAATATTTAGTTCCTAGAAAAGGGCAAAGTCAATCCTTGCTCTTTCTTTATGTTTACTTACACACAGCCAATGTTAATAGGAGTACAGTAGGCTCGCGATAATTCAAACTTGGATATTTCATACTCTTGGTTAATTCAAACAAATTGCAAAATTTTGGTTGTCCCGCTATGTTTTTAATGTATTCATAGGCCGCTTAATTTGGATGGCGTTTTCGTGCAATTCATACTTTTTATTTTTGCGGCCCCGTTGAGTGCGCTTCTTTCCGAGCACCGGTGCACTGCAGAGAGGCGAACACCCGCCGAGCTTGCTCCTGCGGGTGTTGCCTCTCCGCAGTGCACCGGTGCTCGGTGACAAGCGTACTCAGCGGGGCTGAAGCAGAGCACCATGAGCTATGAAAACAAGCACCACGTGGAAATTTCCATAGAAACTTGCGCAGACGCTGTGACGTGGCAGCATGGCATAGGTCCACGTCACAGCGCCCCTGCAAGTTGTTATAAAAACTGCCTCGCGGTGCCCCTTTTTATCGCTCATGTGTCATCGCTCATTTGGGACACATGAGCAATAAAAAGGGGCACCGTGCGGCAGTTTTCATAACAACTGCTTAACCCTTTGCAAGTTGGTCAGATAGTCTGACCAACTTGGTGGTGGGTCCGGTCAGATATTATTTTGCGTGCATCAGCCAGGAGAAAGAAAAATTGTGCAGCGTACAGAGGTAACAAGAAATATCTATTTTTGCAGTGGTTCTGCATTTCCGTGCTCTCTAGCAATACTTTGACTGCATGTAATATTTTTCTAAGCATTCTCCGGGGGGGGGGACTGGGGTTCTCCTTTCGTCTTTCGATGGCTGCACACTGTGCAGTCTTTTCTGGTATGTTCTTGTAGTGATGTTGATCCTCTTTTCTTGGGTCGCATTCGCAACTCCCCGACCAGCTGTTCGATCAGCTTACGGCAGTACTGGAGGTGGCTTTGCCCCTTCAGTCCCTGAGCATCCTGTTGCATCTGCATTAGCAGGAAGCTATTGTTGATGGCAACCTCAAGGATCCACGAGAAGAGCTTCCTCTATTATTTGAGGGACTTGCGGCAGAATGCGTAACTTATGCAGTAGTGGTCGGCTCGATCAACAGCTTCCATGTTCTTTGTATAGTCACGAATGGCTACCGGCTTATCCTGTTTCACAGCTTGGCCGTGTCCTGAGAGAGCAAAACGTCCTGAGAGAGCAACTCCTCAGCAAGTTGTGGGGACGTATAAAACCTGTTCGTATAGAGGTGGTACCCGCTTCCGAGTAAAGTGCATTGCATCTTGCCGAGGAGGTGCAGGTCGATCCGACTCATGAAGGGGAGGTCTGGCAGGCAGAGGCTCTCTGTTGTTGTGCTACCGTAGTAGGGCTCAAATGCTGACATGTAGCCTGTTCTACAGTCTGCGAGTACGTAGACACGGAGGCCCCACTTCGTTGGTTTCTGCGGGTTGTAGCATTTGAATGAGACCCTGCCCTTGAAGCCAACTGTACTCTCATCGACACAAATGTTCGGGCCGGGCTTGAAATGCTCATGTCATTTTGTGTCGTTGTAGTTTACGATGTTGCTGTCTTGCTACCTCGTGTCGGCTGGTGTGAGGGACCTTGCGGAGGTGGAGAGACGTGCAGCATCCGAAAAATCTGAAGAAATTTTGTGCGAGTTAACACGGCGGGAAAAACTATCATCTTCAATATTTCTTGGCTGAAATACTCCTTGATGTCCGGCTTGGGATTGAGGGCCATGTTCATGAGAACACCGAGGAAAGCCTTGAATACTTTTACAGAAACGTCTTCCTAACTTTTCCATATGGATTGCTCAGCGAGCGAATCCATGGATGAAAATTTCTCGTGGGCATGCCGGTTTGTTTCTTGCACGATTTCTCTGATGAGTTCATCCGTAAAAAATAACTGAAAAAGCTCAAGTTCAGAGCCAAGATTTGACGATCCAACCTATGGTCCAGGGTCGCTAACGGTGAATGCCACACCAGGGAAGTCTGGGAGGTCGTCTGTGTAGGTAGTCCATGAGCACAGCGCCGGCGCGCGTGGAGAAGAGGGTCCACTGTTGTTGTCTGGTACACTCATTTCTTCGTTGCTACTGTCACTGCAATCAGCAGAGGGTGTTTCATCATCATCTGATGGAGGCACATTGTTGCGCAAACAGTGCCATGCTTTTTCCAGCCAGCGAAATTCGAAGCGACCCGCGCCTTCGCCGCTCACGAGCGCTTCTGCTTTCTATGGGAAAAAATTTCAAACTATAGAAACAATGAAGTGTCAAAGAAATGTGCTGAAAGATCGTGCCACCAATCCAGCCAAAAAGAATGGAGGAATAAGTTTAAACGAGAGTGGGAGTCGCGTGTCAGGCGACGTCTGACAACTGACCAGTAACATATTTCTCCCATGTCGGGCCATGCCCGACCTGTGTCCGCAAAGGGTTAAGTCCACGGTATACAACGTCTCAACCTGATAAACAAACTTAATTCTTGTTTTGTGTTGTCATGTGCTGTCTAAACATTCCATGATCAACAACATTTTCGAGAGATATACTTATGTCATACATTTCACAAATGTTTCATTCCTGGTATGATCATGACCTATGTAGAAGAAGAAAAAGTATGAATGTTTCATTTGTGGTTATGATCAGTAGGCCTATTTAGAGAAAATCATAAAATATCTGCTTTGCATGTGTAGCTATTTTTATGGCAAATCATAATTTTACCTTGTGTCACATTCAGATGAATTTGTGATAATTCAAACTTTGGATAATTAAATAAATTTTGTCGCTTCCTGGAGTTTTAATTAATGAGAGTCTACTGTAGATATTCAGAACAGCATGAAGTGGATGGATACCGCAGTCTACAGTTGCTCCTTGGCAGTGTGAATGCATGATTACCAAAGACAAGAAGCTGTAGTTCAGTTGCGGTGGATTGGAAATAAGTGCTGATGGCACATAAAGCCAGCTAAGGGGCAGTCAAACAGACAGAGCCACCAACAATGCACAACCTTTTTTGTAGAATACATGATTAAGCTTGTGCCCCCCCCCCCCCCCCCATCCAAAGTGTGATGACAAAAGGCAAGCTCACCTGCTAAATTTAGCAGGCTTATGTCCTCCTAACCTTAGCAGGATGTAGACCTGCATGCCTAGTAGCGCTGAAACCAAAGCTCCCTATGTAACCAAAGGCTCACAGGATGCCATACATGCTTCTGCAGAGCAGGAACATACGGGATTTGTCAGTACAATCAAGCTGCTGTTCTGCTGAGCAAGGTTGAAGTTTTTTTGTTCAGATTTTTTATGGACTGTCGAGCTAAAGTTTCTTGGTGTGTTTGTTTTACAAGTTGTGTTAAACGCACCACTTCACGATGTCCGTGCCCTGTCAAACCTTGGGAGCATATGGAGGCGAAGCTCTGAAATGAGTAGCTCTTGCAAGCAAATGGCAGTGTAGCCCTCGCTCGCGGCGCCGGTTGTCGATACTTGTGAGAAATCTGAAGCCTTACTTTCTTTATCAGTGAGCTTTATGTTAAACAGGGTCTAGGTAAATAGCTTCTGCTATGTTTTTCACTGTAAAATAAAAATTTCCCAGGTTGCTTACCCTTTTTCTGTTTGACTACCATCACAGTTGCTCCTGCATCTTAGAGTGATTTCACCTATGGCTGTGAGACCTTCATACTCTTGGCTGTGCAATTCTCGTTTTTAGCTATTAAAGATATTTGAGCCAGTTCCCAGTCTTCTGTCTAAACTACTCCTTGACGCAGCTCAGGTTTGGTGCATGGTATTCTGTGTCATCGTCCTGTTTTTATCTCACTCATTTGTTTATTTACATTTAATGTTATTTTCAATGTTTCTTTGTCATTTCTTTTTCAGTATGACAAGCCAGTCCTACCTGAAATACCCGACGGACTCAACGAGCTCCGAGGAAACTTGGACATTGCAACCTCCATGGCAGAAAAATGCTTCTACAACTGCGATTACAAGCAGTGTTTTGAAATTACTTCAGTGTATGTGGATTTTCATTTCATTCGAAATTTCTGGTAATTTTTATTGAACATGTTAGTGTGTGCAAAGTTTAATCATCCTTGATACTTCATCATTTTGTTCTATGTAAAACTTGCATTGAAATATCTGTTTGTTTGCTTTTTTTTGTGGCCAGCGTACTAAGCAAGGACCCATACCACACTGATTGTCTACCTGTTCACATATCGTGCCTGTTAGAACTTGGGAAATCTAATGGTATGTAAAGCTTTACATTGGCCAATCAAAATGTTCCTAGAAATTGCTGCTTTAAGACAACATGATGCATCTATTTTCAGCTCTCTTTTATTTGGCCCACAAGCTTGTCGACTTGTTCCCAGACAATGCGGTACGTTGATCATAAAAGATGGTAATTTTCCATTATAGATTCCCGTATGAACATCGACCTCATTAGGAAAATTGCTGGGTCATGTCCTGAAAGTGCATCTTACTTTATAATGACTGCAGCACAGTTGTAAACATGTAAAATGCATGAGTGAATTGTAGGGTCGCTTGGATTTCAAGGGGGCTGAAACCCCATAAGCCCCCCCCCCGGCTACACCACTAGTTTACAGCAACTCATGTTTACAAACAAACCGGAGTACCCCTAGCGGTATGTCACTGGTGCTGCGCATCTGCAATGAGGGTTGGGTAAGAAGTGGCGCATCCCACGTCAACAAACCATTGGAATACAATGTTGTCGGTGTGAGTCCCCATGCTCTTTTTCGTGTTTGAAGTGTTGATTCTATAATCTTCCTTACAGTGTGTTACTTCAGTGGCCTGAGCGAAATTAACGAGGCTCATTACACCATAAAACTTTGTGTAAATAAGATCAGCAGCGATCCATTCGCTATGAACGCTGCAAAATGGACCTAAAGCCTGATCCACATGATGAGATTCTGCTCGCTATTTTCAGTCGCGACGTCGCTCGGGCTGCAAAAGCATGGACGGTAGCTGCGATGCTTGACGTTTATACTGAAAATCATGATAATCGCATCACTGAATCGGGCATAACAAGTCGGTGATGACCACTGGTAACAATGATCAACACCTCCTTGTATCTACAGTTTACACCAAGCCTACTTACCCCGAACAACCTTCAAACTTAAAAGATTTTTGAGGCCTGCACTTACTTCTTATCGCAACGTTTGGTCTACTGGCCACTGCCATTAAAATGTTCAGATGACAGTTTGAACAAGTTCAAAGAGCAGACGACATTATGAACGATCAGGCAGCCGCTTGAATGTGAAGATGCACTGAACATGGTCTGCGGGTGGTCCGGACAGCTTGTTGGTGTTCCCACATTCATAATGGAACAGATCAAATAAATCTGATGACCACACATATTCCTGAATTCAACCCAAAAACTCGTGGTCTGACAGTGTCTGATTTTCCCCTTTCACGGCACCTATCCACATTATCGGACAAACTGAGCAGACAGAAAACACATGAAAACTAATCTTTCCCAGCTGTTTAGGTATTGCCCCAGTCACGGTGTTTTGACGAGCAGGCAGGTTTTAGCCTGGTTTCTTCTAAAACAACACAGGAATGGCCGTCCCGCATGGCGACTTCCGCCCACACCCCTGACTGGAAGCGTACCCAAACTGCCACCCCCGTGGCGTGACGTAACGGAGTTGAGTTGGTCTGCATGGTGTGTTTTCTGATTATCATCAATGAAAGACACTTTGCCAAATAATGTGACTGTCCTGCTGAAGTTTCGTCAGTTTTAGAGCTTTTTCTTGACTTACTTGACAGTTTACATTATCTAGTTGGAAGTTGCAGTAACGTCACCATTGTGCAATGTGACGTGTTCAGTGCTATTATGTTGGCACTAGTATAGAATATTTTAGAATAAAAACCACTCAATGCCAATGTTATTCTACTTGTTTCATAGATATCTTGGTTCGCAGTTGGGTGTTACTACTTCCTGGTAGGAAAGGCGGATTCTGCGCGTCGCTATCTCAGGTATGACTTTTTTGAGTATGTTCACCAGGAGTGGCCAAGCTGTGGCTCTTCGCGTGTTAAAGTGCGGCTCACAGCTGCCTCCCCTACCCCCCTACTTCTCCCCTCACTCCCCTGCCTCCCTTCCGGTCACACGAGCACTTCCCCAAAAAGAGAAATGGAACGTGTTTTAAATCGAAAGACAGGTTGCGGTTTGGTAGTCTTGTGTTACTACTGCCTTACGTACAGTTGGACTGCTTTTGACTCCGATAGGGTTAAAGTACTGTCGAGACCGGCTGTAACGAGGTCGGTTATAACGAAATAGCAGCTACAGAGAAGCAATCACGATTTCCCATTCCCGTTTGCACTTTTTCAATGCATTTGTGTCTTTTTTTAGCGAAGGAAATTGAGCGGCTCCCTCATTATAGCGAAGAGAAGTTTTGTGATAATTTAAAAAAAGAATAAAATTTTAAAAGTTTACTAAGTCTTGGACCGCTGCACTTTGGTGTCGCGACCAATAAGTCACCGAGAACAGGCTACAGAGGTTCTGGAAAGGCCGCCGGCGGCAGTCTGCATTGTTGTCTGCTCCTCGTTCCTTATCTGGGAAGCGGCTTTACTGCATCGCACGCGGAGGAGCCGTTGTGGCATGCCGATAGGGGTGTTTGAAGCGCTAGCGACAACGTACCGGCGGAGATGATGGAGAGAGACTAGGTTTAAGAGGAGGGAGCAGTAAGTATGCCTGCATTTGATTGTTGCGGGGCCAGTGTGACGAGGAAACTGGGTGGAGAAGTGGACATGGTTTGCAGAAGGTGAACGCTTTTGAGTTTTCACTCCTTGCATGCTGCACCTCATTCTGTAAATGCGGCCCAGAAACCATGTGACCCCGATCAAGCAGTTGCCCCATCTCTTAAATCTAGTCTCTCTATACCAGCGACAGACAAGCTTCAGTGCAAACGTAGTGCCGTGCGCGCTTCTTTGTTTGCTTCGTGATTCTTGTCGACGTCTGGTCAGTGAGATTACTCTCGTGCAAAAGTCTACTTCGCTCAGGCACCGATTTGGAAAGTCATTGCCACTCAACAATGGAGACCTTGACGGGAAGACGAAGGCAATCTCCATGAATCAAAAGCGTGCCATCTTCGACGGAGTACGCATAAACATAAAGAATGCTGTCTACTGCCGGCATCCTCCGTAGAGCCATTGTAGCTGTCGACACGGTCTGTACATAGCGGAATATTTTTTCAATCGGAGCTTCTCGCAGTTGGCGAGGCGAGACATGGATCCGGTCTAGCAGAGGACAACTGCAGGGAAGCCTCAACTGCTTTCTGCAGGCTCAATAAACATGTGCTCGTGATAACCCGTGTTATCTTTTTTCTTTTTTTTTTTATGTTATTTGTATGAGTTCACATATAACAAAGAAGCAGATATAGTGAAGCAATTTCTGATTCCCATTGACTCTGTTATAACCGGTCTCGACAGTGGAAGTTTCACGGTTTTGTTTGCAGCTCTTGGGCCGAGTCAGCCTGGCCACCCCTGATGTAGACTCTCAATAATTCAAACTCCAGGAAGCCACATATTTTGTTTGACTTATCAAAAGCTTGAATTATCAGAAATTCATCTAAATATGATGCAAGATACAATTTTGATTTGCCTTTTTAATGGTTCATGCAAAGCAGATATTCATTTCCTCTACATAGGCCCCCATATCCCTCTCCCCTTCCCCTTTGTGGCAAGGCATGCAACTGGCCGCGTCGTACCCTTCTGTACCTTAATGAAATGTTTTCAACAACAACTCTACATAGGCCTACTGATCATAAGTAGGTATGCCTTAACACATGAAACATATGTGAAATGTATGACATAAGATTATTTATCTCTCATTAATGTTGTTTATCGTGGACTGTTTAGACAGTACATGACAACTCAAAACAGAATGAAGTTTGTTCTAGAGCCACTAGAAAAACTATGCTTCAGAGTAATGACACTTCAGCCACCTAGGTGCGCAAAACCATGGTTGCCAGTTACCTGAAGCTATATCTGAAATCGCAGGAAACGTTTTTCCGTCCTCCAGAAATGTCGGAAGGGTTTGTGACAGAGCAAAACAATATCACTTGAGCTTCCTACCACTGTGTCTAAAGCTAAGGAAGTTACATTTTTTTTTTATTCTGACAATCGACAGTTGCATCTGCTCTGCTCTAAGCACCAAGATGATGGCGCCCACTAGCAGATTGGGAAACGGACTGCGGATACTCTAAGCATAGCTCATTTAGTGGCTCTAGTTTGTTCATCAGGCCAAGAAGTTTTCATAGCAACTTGCACGGATGCTTCACATGGACCTATGCCATGCCGCCACGTCACAGCATCCGCGGAGGTTGCTTTGGAGATTTCCACATGGTGCTTGTTTTCATATCTCATGTGTGCCCTGCTTGAACCCGTTCAGTATGCTTCTCAGAGAGCACGAGTGTACTGCGGAGAAGCAACACCCGTGGAAGCAAGCTCTGTGGGTGTCGCCATGTCACCTCTGCAGTGCACCGGTGCTCGGAATTAAGCGCACTCAACGGGTCTGCGAGAACAAAAAAAGTATGAATTATACGAAAATGACATTTGAATCAAGGGGCTTATGAATACATTAAAAACACGGTGGGACAACCAAAATTTTAAAATTTGTTTGTATTAACCAGAAGTGTGAAATATCCGAGTTTGAGTTATCGCGAGCCTACTAGCATGGTTTCTGATGTCTGAGCATTGGATTTTGTGCCAGTGACTGACAAGGTGTTCTGTTGTCCTGTGGAACAGCAAGGCCACCGTACTTGATCAAGTGTTTGGTCCGGCATGGCTGATGTATGGCCACTCCTTTGCGGTGGAGAGTGAGCATGACCAGGCCATGGCTGCCTACTTCAAAGCCCTCCAGTTGATGAAAGGGTAAGCTGGCTTGTTGGTAACTTGGAAAAAAATTCTCGAATTTCGTGATCCCAAGAAATGTGTGGCCACTTTGAAAGGCAGCTGAGGAACCTCGGCAGTCTCTGCATTGTTGCAGAAAAACAGTTGGCTGTTCAAAAGTTTGTCAACAAAAATAAATAGTACACACATTCGGAAAAAGAAAAGCTCAAGTATGCCTTTTTCCCCCAATGTGCGTGGCTCACTTATGCTTAAAGGGATAGAGAAACGAAATTCCAGCGCTCATTTTCTAGCTTGAATATGTTGCATGTTGCACCCTAACCTCAAAAACACCAGTCTTCTGTTGAAAGGCACAAGAAAACTAATTTTAAAGCTAAATAAACAATCTTTCAATGTGCACCTGGTGGATGCATGCAGAGCCTATTTGGGAGGTAGTCTAGCAACGTTGTGGAATTTGCTACGTAGTCATGACGTAGCAGATTCCTTCGGAGCAGCGCCGCTCTTTGACATTTCAACATTTTCCCTCTTAGCTTTCCTCCTCAACTCACCAGTCATGCATTGTACCAAACGGTCCAAGAAGACTGAAAGGAAGGACTCCCCTTTTTCTCGGACCCTGGTTCGTGCAACCGGACGCAGCCACTCTCCCCCTAGAAAATTAGCCCGTCGCTCAAAACTCGAACAAAAGTTGCTTTCCCCACCCCATTCAGCCCTAAGCTGACAGTGTTGTGGAAGCTACGTGCTCCTTGGGCCAGCCACACGCTCTCACCCCACGGGTACTTCAAACGGCTCGGTTGTAACGCGCTGACGCTATTGACACCACCACAACGCTGACAACGCCACCAAGGGCAAAGCTCATAACCACGCCTGCCTTGCTACTCCACGAAGGCGGGAAATCTTTTCTTTCTGTTTTTGTTTGCGCCAGATATCCCATGACGCCTCATGCTCTCCGTTCGCTTCTTTTCGAGCGATTGCTCGAGTGCACCGTTTGGAACGAAAAATGAAGCCAGTCGTTCAAAATACAAACGTGCGATTATCATTTACGGCTATTATCCGTCATGCTTGACTCATTTCCGAACGAAATTCGAATATTTCAATTTTTGTTTCCGTACCCCTCTGAATTGGGCCTAGTATCCCCTGGAGGTACTCAGGGAAAATGATGATAGTAGGAGCATGGTTAGAGAATCAATAGCTTAGGGCAGGGTTCTCCAAACCTTTTGGCTAAGGGGCCGGATTAGGGTCCTGGTGCAGCCCCGAGGGCCGGAAAAAAGGAGTAGTACTTATGAAAAGAAAGAGCTAAATAAACAAACAGATAGGCATTTCAACACAAACACTATTGTTAGAGTAAGTACTAAAAACCTCTTCCTAAGGTTAATAAATGTGTGTACTTCAATTTGAAATTTATATTTAGCTAATAATGACCTTGCATGAAAATTGTGACCAAGAAAATTCACCAGGCACGAATCAAAGTGCTAGGGAAATGTGGCACATTCGCCCAGTGCAAGACACTAATGAAAATAATCAAAATAATGCTGACAGCATGCAATATGTGTGACAAAGACAGTAAACACATTGTATGTGAGAATGCAAAAAAAAAATTTACAAAGTTACAGAAACATGAAGCAGGAGACTAAAATTGGTGATGCTGATGACAATGTTCAATAATTATAATGGCGAGATCACCTGCGTTACAATGCAGTTTCACCCGTTTTTTCTGGCATCTTCATTTGCGCATTTGGAGTGCTCTGCAGCGCCATTTCTTTGCGCGCACTTCATTTTGTACCAGGAGTGGCAGGTCTTTTGGAAGTGGGCCGTGGGCTGGGCTCCATTGGATGGACCGCGGCCAGCCATGGCCCAGACAGAAAACTTCCGCGGGCCGGACCCGGCTCCCTGATTTCGGGAAATTAGTAGCCAGACATATCAACCTTTGGGCTTAGCAGTTTTTTTGGATCTTATACAGTCTAGCAATATATTTGTTGTCCATGCTGTGTCCAGACTTATTCTAAAATACCATATTCGCTTCACAGGGCTACAGCAATTATGAACTGGGTCTGCAGAAGGCACGCAGATGGCCGATTAATTGTTATTCACAAAAGCAGCATAGAGAAATAATAATGCAGAAGTGCAATCCTTCTTCAGAGCTGCTATTTGTGCTGTACAATGAACGTGCCATTTTTTATGCGAAGAGTCCTGTGCAGGTTGTACTTTTGGGTTCAAGCATTTTCTGTGCCCCATCATTCACTTAACTTATTCCGTGGGTTATAATGATTGACTATCCCCATCGTCTACTGAAAAGTAGGTGTGCTTACCTTATTCGTAATTGATGTAGATATTTCAGGCGAGTGCAGTACTCTACATTTCGTCATGCCAGAATTTTCATGTGCTGCATAATTGCTTCAGTTGTGCTCGGAGGTAGATAATATTTGGTTATGGTAGCATATTTGAACTAGTGACTTTCCTTTTATCTTGCTTGTCGCACTGGACGTTTACTTATCATATTTTCTTGAACCTTGTTTGACGTTTTTACGAACGGTTCATATTTATGCTTTATGGCAGCACTTACAGAGAGCCTGATCTGTGGAGTGACAAGACACCATTATCATTGGGGTTCAAAGATGTTTTTTTTTTGTCCTGAGATTCTGAAGATGTAAATATTATACTTTGCATCCTGCTGCTGCTTGGATTTTTAAATCCAAATGCTATCTGTGTCTTCTCATCTAGCAGGCTCTCTTTCACTACCCCTCCTCTAGCCGTGAACTAGAGGAGGGGTAGTGAGCTCATTGAGCGCTCAAGGCTGCCGCACTCCGTGTCGACGGCGCGAGAGGGCGCTACTAAAGCGTGTTCTGGATAGGCTGTATACAGCGGGCAGCCAGAGCGGCTCTCATTGCATTTTCTGCGCGATTAAATACTAATTCGGCATGACACTTCATTGGCCACAAACGACAGCAAACACGGGGTAAAGATCAGTTCAGAATGGGAGCCACTTTGCGGTGCCATACCGCGGAACGCCCAAACCACAAGACAAAGCTTCTCGCCGAAGGCCTTCGGAACGCTCGGAGCCGGTCGGATCCTCCTGTCCATACGACCGCAGCGCCGCCGCGTACATCCGGGACCTTTCCGGTGTTGGCGTCTGATCCCACTACTCCTTTCTAGTATGCGCCGCCTTTTCCACTGCTTGGTGCCGGGTATGTCGACGGGTCATTTCTTGTTTCCGTACTTTATGAACTGCATTAGTTTCTTTTCTGATCTAAAATACTGAACAAAAACTACTTTTATAAATAATTGAAACAATTCGTGCCACTTATGTTTTGTATTTCGACTAAAAAGAAGCTTTTAGCGGCTCTGACCAGTAGTAAGCCCAGGACCAAAGACGTCACATTTTGCGCGCTTTCGGCACCGCGGGTCGCCCTCGTCGGTGGAGGAGGTTTCCGCGTCGTCTGGTTAAAATATGACGGACTGAAATTTAGTTACTCTCTCCGTGCCCGCTGGCTTGCCCAAAAGAAGTGGAAACCGCAAAAAAGGTAGACGCTTAAATATGATTGCAGGGCCCCTTCAATAAATACAGTAATCATGACTATATTAGTGCAGAGGGTGGGAACAGTTGGAATAAAGAAGCGATTAACAGGATTACTATTTATTTCTGTCACATAGCTGGACGGCCGTAATCAAAATGACCATTTTAGTGGAATATGCTTATATGTGTGTACCGTAATAATCCCATCTAAAAGTTAGAGCAATTCGGGTGAAAATAAGGAGTGGGCTAACTTTCGGCGTACAATCAAGAAAAGTTAAAAAGACTATTTTTAGATCATGTTTTCCTGCCAAACTTGTTATCGTGGCGAGGTACAATGAAGCAATGATGACTGTACTTCCCAGTCAGCAATGTTCGCTTATATGCCACTATAGCTACCATATTTACACGATTGTAAGTCGACTCGATTATAAGTTGACCCCCCCACATTGTACATCAGCAAAAAAAAAAAAAATCTTTAGATGCGCATTTTACTGCGAACACAAGAGGACGGCAAAGTACTATCTGTTTCAAAAGCCGAGCCTCCAACACGCGATCGATGCCTCCTGGCGTGCTTTGGCTGCGCATGAACGCGCGCGAGATGGCCAGGTGTTATCGAAACTAGGAAGTTCACGCTGGAGGCGGGACAACTGAAGCTGCTCACTGTCATTCTCACTTCGTCCGCGACTAGACTACGACTCGTCCGCACTGGTGATGTCAGTCCCGTCATAATCACTGCCACGTTCTCGAAGCACGTCGTTGGAGTCGTCCAACGAAATCTCGCACTTCGCAAATGACGGGATTAACCGCATCTTCTGCACTTGCTCGGCGATCACTTTGGATGTCACGGGTAGGGACCGATTACACACTTTTGCGCCGTACGTTACAAGCCTGACCTCCAACTCCGGAAGGCATTCTCACCTATCTAGACTTTGGCCTGAAAGCTGCTTGTCGGCACAGCTTAAGATCTTGCGCCATTGCAAACTCCACTGGAGCATCACCCGTTCTGACGGGTCGAACTTGCGTCCACCAGCGCACTTGTTAATTGCTTCTGAGTGAAGAATGGCCATAAACGAGCATCGAAAACCTAAACTGCCCGGATCAAGCTTGTCAATACAAAATAAACTTAGTTAGCGCTCCAGTATGATCTCGACACTCGATCAAACGATGTGCGACCGTGAATCACGCGAAAAACTGCGAAGGCTGTTCCAGCGGCCTCCGGAGCGGCTCTTACAAGAAATGCCGCCACCCCCCGGGAGTCGGGCGCGCCGTGCGCTGTTCACCGCCGTATAGACCTTTGCAAAAAGAGCTCTCTGGCCGCCGCCATTGTGCGACTCGAGCGACCCCTATCAGCCAAAACTTCCTGCCACCCGCCTGAGCTGTGGAAACCCTGTCAGCGCAGCTCCCGACCTGCATTGTGCATTCGAAGTTCGCCGGATTTCCTCGAAAGTTTTTACTTCCTTTGCCCGTTCAGGGTGCTGGTGTGTTTTGTGTTATCTTCCACCATGATAACCAGGGATTACCAGGGCTCGTAGCCTGCTCGACCTTCGCAGGAAATGAACAAAGAGATCGAATGTCAAGCAGCCCGCGACGCGGGTCGTTCGACGTTCTTCGAGGATTAATTTCGTTCAGATAATCTCCGAAAAACCTTCCCGGCTATGTTCCCAGTCTTGGCGAGAAGTAGCTGATGGCGTCCGGGGTATGGGGGCTGAATAGACGCGTTCGTTCATTTGCCTTAAAGGGACACTGACAGGGTATTTATGCTCGCCGAGGTTTTTAGTTGTACGTGACATATGAGAGCTCAACTACCCAGAACACAATTTGCGGCTCGAAATTCGGTTTCTTTCCGCCCAAAAACCGCCGATCAAGAACTGGCCGGTTCGAGTCTCGCTCACTCTCTTTTCCGCGGTCACGGGCCGTTTTCTAAGGTATCGATGCGACCACCAAATTTAATCAAAGTCGTGGGTCACTGAAGGCACACACTCAATATTAAAAATAGAAAAAAAATATGAAACCCATTTTTCGGGGCGACTAAAAAGCTGCAAATACGTTGATTAAAAAAAAAAATTCCACAGACAACCGGAAGCATTCTGTGCGTTCGTCATTTCGCGTATCGTGGGACTCGCGGGGACGGCGATGGCAGCCGAGACTGGTGTGGGACCTCTATTTCAGAACTGTCGTTCGCGGTACCGGCGAATTCTGTCTACCTTTAAAAGAGAAATTTGGGACTGATCAAAAGAATTGGTATTCATACCGTACGACACGCCCGACCACCAAGCCGATTTGCACGAAAACGTTGCCGAGCCGTCGCTCCCTTCTCGTGGCTGAAGACATCGCTCGCGCAAACGTCAAGCACGACGTGTCTACTTCGAGTTCAATATGCACGCGTATGATTTCTTTACTAGGTGCGAATGTCGCCAATGTGTGGTGCTTCCCGACTTTGACCCGAAAGTGCTTTTGCTAGAGGAAAATCGGCAGCAAACTTTCCAACTTACAGTTTACCGGCTGAAATATTACTAAGGAAGGAGATCCTCCAGTAAAGAAATGCCCCAGTCGCTCAGTGGGAAAGACGTCCGCTTCACACGCGGTATGACCGGGTTCGATCCTCTGTGAAACTTTTTTTTTTCTTTTTCAAACATTTTCCGATGTTTACATATCTTTTTTTTCTTTTACAATTATCACTAAAGAAACAAACAAAAAAAATAACAAACAAATGTTGTGGACGACATTTCGCTGAATTAAATGGTATGGGATTTCCTTTTTGACACCTGCAAACTCAATGTAATCGCTTTCCACAAAATGCAAGGAGCATATAAATCAGGTAGCGTCCGCTTTCCGAGGTGCCTGTATATGTTCTACAGGAATTGCAGCCAGCCATTGGTCCCGATCCCGTTGATCTTTCGGAAACTCTGTCGCACAATGCCCCTTTTTTTTTGGACGCAGGACATGTGAGCCAGCTCTTCTCGCAACATCTTGGGTGTATTCTTTTCAGAGCCGATCATGGAAATTCACCACGGGCCCTCACTACTCATCTCCAACTCCTCAATGTACAAAACAACTCATCTTGGAGTACAGAACAACGAGCGGAACAAACATAACTGCAAAAGAATCGCACGGCGAACAGTTCCCTTACGCCGCATGTCGTGTTGTCTGCTACGGAGAGGAGAAAAAAAAAAAAAAAAACGCACGGTCGGGTGTAGCCACGTGACTTCCACCACTCACTCTCTTCTCTCCACTTCTCCGACCTCCGTCGGGTTTCGGTTTCAGTTTCGAGCAGTTGCGTCTTTTGGCTTTATTAAAAAAATATGCTACTCTGTTGCAAAATATTAATTGGGTAGTCCTCCAACACCATAATAAAGCGCCTGGCAAAAAATGAAAAACAAAAATTTTGGGGGGTGTCAGTGTCCCTTTAATGCTGTGTGAAAAGACATCACTCTTCAAAACGCACCCCAAGACGAGCCGGATTCCGTCCAATCGTCGTGAAGTGACTATCATCGACACCGTATCTTCCTTTCTCAAATCCTCTTTGGATGACGTGACACCGTGGGGTACATACAATATATGTTGTTCGATTGATGAGACTCGTTGAATTTCATGTTGTAAGCGCAGGGAATACTCATGCAGGTCGGCTATCCTGTGATGGGGTTAAATATTTTGGGCAGTTAAGACCTTTGTATATCGAAACGGCTGAATGCATGGTGCTGTTAAAAAATATGAACATAAAATCAAACAGATGTTCCAGTTGAATTTGATCTGTCGCGCACGGACTCGCCAAAAATAGCTTTCATTTGTTTGTTTTTGTTCCCAAAAATTAGGCAATCCTTTCTAAAAAGCTGCGAAAAATTCTTTTTGCCATAGAACACAAGACAAAAAAGAAAACGAGGCAATTTTGCCTCCACCAGCATCCGGAATTGCGCCTACGCAGGCTGTCACAGCCTACTGACGAGAGAGAACCCACAGCCCAGCGCAGTCAGGCAACACTGCCGTACACTCTCAAAACCAGGGACGTGCGCTGTAAATCGCTTCGTTTGAGACTGCCGCTGGAAAGGTCTACCGTATTTACTCGCACAGTGAACGCAGTCGCGTAATGAACGCACCCCCCAAGTCGGCTCTCAAAATTTCGACTTTTTTTTACACTCGCGTAATAAACGCACCCCCAACTCGGACGTCAAAATTTTGACCCCCTCCCCCCACGCGCGCAAAATGAATGCACTTTTTTATCGTGGTGCCGCGAGGTCGCGAATGCATGGGCAGCGTGGGCGAACAAAACGCCTTGCAAAAGGCGTTAAAAAAATTTGCAAAGATCCAAGGGAAGCAAAAAAAAAAACATGGAGAGGAGCTTTTTTTTTTTTTTTGCACAGCCCAATCTGGATTTTGGGTTCGCGCGCCGCCGCGCGCAAGGAGGTAAAGGCCCATACGCATATTCGCGTTTGAGCGCGGTGCGTTCCGTAGCGGCAAGCGGACGCGTTTCGTTGCGAAGACCGCTTGCGCCAAACTTGTACGCACAGCCGCAATCAAGAGCCAATAAGAACGCGCTATCATCGCTAGTGGCTCACCAATAGTAAGCGAGATCCAAGGCAACATGGCGGCGCACGGCGACAGCGTTGAAGTGTTCGATCTTGGGACAATCTCGCTGGCTTCCCCGACGTTTTGTCAAGCTTGAACCATCGCAGCCTTGGAAAATACAGTCCCCACCGCTCCCGAAAACGAAAAAGCAAGCACTGCGACCGGCGAACCGGATACGTCTCGCCGAGTCGGCCGGGTGGGGCCAGCAAACACGTCACCCCCTCTCCTCTTTCGGCTTCTGATTGGTCGAACGCACCCGAACGCACCGCAACGCTTCGGAAAGTTGAGCGAGTCTCTACTCGCTTGCGTCGCGCTACCGAGCGTTGCGGGAAGGCGCGCGTTGCTCCGCAAGCGATTGCGCATGGCCGCAAGGGCTCTGCAACGCACTCAAATGCGTTCAAACGCGAATGTGCGTATGGACCTTAAGAAAGAGAAGCGCTCTAAGCAAACAAAACAACTTCCGAAAGGCGGCAAAAAAAAAAAAAACCCACGGAATTAAGAGAAAACAAAAACAAAGAGGAGCTTTTTTTTCTTCTTTTTGCACAGCGCAGTTTGGTTATGGGGGGTCAAGCGCCGCGCGCAAGGAGGTAAGAAAGAGGAGCAGAGAAGCCCTTTTTTTTTTTGCACCGCTTAGTTTGGTGCAGGGGTCGCGCGCTGTGCGCAAAGAGATAAGAAGGTACTTCGATTTTTCAGGATAAAAGGTCCGTTTATTATGCGAGTAAATACGGACGCAAAAATTTTATTCGCGTAATGAACGCCCCCCCCAACTTTGCATCAATTTTTCAGAAAAAAAGTGTGTTCATTCTGCGAGTAAATACGGTATATTCGGGTTAATTTGCGAATCGCTATCGATAATACTCATTCGCACAAATAAAATAATTAATTTGTAAAATGAGCGCAGATAATAGTGCAATGCTAGAGGTACAGCCGGCTGAACTCTTAACAAGCCGAGGTGTGTTTATGATATTGCGATTGTTTCGTTTTTTCCAAAGGTGGAATGCTTTGGTTTGATTATAAGTCGACCCACCCACTTCATATTTTTAAAAATTGAAAAAAAGGGTCGACCTACATTCGTGCTAATACGGTAACTAGCTGCATTTACGCCTAGGTCATCATTGATCTGAACACTATGATTGCTAGGTGTAGGAATGTCAGACCACTACGGCATCGGGAATCAAGCTCTTTAATCACGTGCTTGCCAGAGCACGAGCACACGGCGTGGTGCTCATACTCCGAGCGAAAGGTAAACATAAATAAAAAAATTAGTTGTTTTTCAGCAACGCTAGCGCGGGCTGCTGCACTGGGAGTGGACTATCTTTCGGTATATAAAAGAAAATAGCAAATCAAGCCAAAAATTAGGGTGGGTTATCTTTGGGGGGTGGGGTATCTCTTGGAATAATACGGTAGTGCTCCAATCTAAAGGTTAATTAACATCTGATGTTTGGCACTCGCCTGACTAAGTATATAATGCAAAAAGTGCCGCTTTTTTTTACTCAGTCAAACTGTGTTGCCCAGTTTACATATAAAAAATTACTTAGGTTAGCGCTCGCTCAATGCACGCTAAATTGACCTTGCAGTGGATCAACCGAGGTGTCATATATACCAATATGCTGCTTACAAACAAGCCTGCGTTTGCCGACACCGGGTGTGAGCACCGCGGGTGTGCAGAAACCAGATCTGCATGAGACGAAACGTTTGCACTTGCGCAGTGCCGGCAGCAGTGCCACCACAGTGGCGTGACATCAGAGGGTTGAGTTGGTGTATAGTTTAAAAGCAGACTTAGTAAAGTGTGTAGAGAGAGACAGAAAATGAAAGGATTGTGGAAAGTGCTCCCATAAAAAGCAGTGCTGAGTACTCCATTCAGAGTGTGGGGGTATCTATAACAAGTATTCGTGAGTTCTTCGGTGCAGAGTTTTTTTTCTTCTTCTCCTTGCAGATGCCACCTCCCCTTCCTCTACATTGGTCTTGAGTATGGCCTGACGAACAACACGAAGCTGGCCGAACGCTTCTTCAACCAGGCCCTTGCAATCGCTCCGAACGACCCTTTCGTTCTTCACGAACTTGGAGTAGTGGCCTTCCAGAATCAGGAGTAGGTTTGCTTGATTCCTGCTTGGTGTGCTTGTGGGGCTTATTGTAGGCACGAGCCTTTTCTTCGGATGCCTCAGTTGCGATATATTTGATTGGTACCGTCTAGTACTATGTTTCTGTGGCTAATCTGTTTTAAGGATCTGCATATTTGCATCACATGGTTACCACGAATGCCTTTGCAGTCTGAAAATTTCCAATTTCCGAGGAAGCATCCGGTACTCAGTTTTGGCACCTTTATTTTATGATTTTTGGTGGGCACTTGCTCAGCATATTTGTTGGGAACCAGGACATCCACTGAAACAATGGGCCATACATTTGTTTGTCTGAACAAAAAACTAGAATCCCAAGAATTGTGGATTTCGCCGCAAACCACATACAATGTAGAAACAAATTACCGTATTTACTCGCATAATGAACGCACCCCCCAAGTTGGCTCTCAAATTTTCGACTTTTTTTTTCACTGGCGTATTAAACGCACCCCCAGCACCCCCAACTCGGATGTCAAAATTTTGACCCCCTCCCCCCAAGCGCGCAAAATGAATGCACCTTTCTATCCTGGTGCAGCGAGGTCACAAACAAAACGCCTTGCAACAGGCGTTAAAAAAATATAAAAAGACCCAACAGAAGCAAGAAAAAAAAACATGGAGAGGAGTTTTTCTTTTTTTGCACAGCGCAGTCTGGACTTTGGGGTCGCGCCCCTCGCGCAAGGAGATAAGAAAGATAAGTGGAGAAGCCCTCGCTGAAGCAACGCCTAAAGCACGATCCAAACCAACGCTTCTTTTTGCGCCTGTAGGTCGTGCGGCTGCGGATGTGACGCATTTCGTGGCGTTTTTGCTGTTTCCGGGCGCGCTTTCTGAGTCAGAACCGTGCGCTTTGGTTTGGACGAGTAAAACTTCGGGCGAGCGCGCACGCGCGCACGCAGGCACGCGCGCACGCAGGCACGAGCGCACAAGCAAAGTGCAACTGCGACAGACTGGCCGGCCAGACGGCGAGAGAAAGAGAGAGAGAGAGATCGCGTTGTTATGTTGGAAGAGAATAAAAGGGAGGGAGGAGAGGGCAGCCAGACGGCGAAGAAACGCGGAGCAAGAACTAGCTTGCCCTCCACCGATTGGCCGGGACACAGGAGCGCCCTACTACGTCACCGCGCGTTTTTGTGCGCGTTGAGAAAGAAGTTGAAATCAACCAACTTTTTTATGCGCGCCCGGAAGGAGCGAAGAAGCGGCGCGACGTCACGAAAATACGTCACATCCGCAGCCGCACGACCTACAGGCGCAAAAAGAAGCGTTGGTTTGGATCGCGCTTAAGCAAACAAAACAGCTTGCAAAGGCGGCAAAAAAAAACAAACCAGGGAACTAAAAGAAAAAAACAGACCAAGAGCTTTTTTTTTTTCTTTTTGCACAGCCCGTTTTGGTTACAGGGTCTCGCGTCACGGGCCGCGCGCAAGGAGGTAAGAAAGAGAAGGGGAGAAGCCCTCGCCTAAGCAACGCTTAAGCAAACGAAACAGCTTGCGAAAAGCGGCAAAAAAGAAAAAAAAAAGAAACCACGGAACTAAGAGAAGAAAAAAAAAACAAAGCTTTTTTTTTTCTTTTTGCACAGCCCAGTTTGGTTACTGGGTCGCGCGCCGCGCGCAAAGAAATAGGAAGTTGCCTCGATTTTTCAGGATAAAGTAGAATTATGCGAGTAAATACGGACGCAAAAGTTTACTTCGCGTAATGAATGCCCCCCCCCCCCAACTTTGCATCGATTTTTTGGAAAAAAAAGTGTGTTCATTCTACAAGTAAACATGGTAAGTGCCCGAAAGACGCTTTTATTGATTCAAATGCCAACATGCTTTGCCCTTTATTATTTTCGCTGCCTTAATGTGACAAGATCACTGGTCAGACACCGCGCAGCCGCAATAGGCAGGTTCACGGAAAGGGGAAGAGCCTTAAAAAGAACAGAGCTCCTTGGAGCAAGGCCCTCTTTTGACGAGAGTTCCCTAGGCTGAGATGGGGATGCGGGGAACATGTGGTACCCACAAAATGTAGACGAGTATTGCTCTGCATTACTATGATAACCAAGAAACCAGACAGAACTGTTACTTGAGTGTGCATAGTAATTCTACGTTGCCAGCATGTGCACTAAATCTGGGACTCACTCTCTTCCCAGATGATTTTGTTGTCGCAGCCAAGTATTATCTAACATCCACATCTTATTTCTATGTGCAGCGCATACTCGTTCGTCAAGAAACCATTGTGGATTATTCTCCCTGGTGTATTTATAATTAAATAAAAAAAAAATTCTTGTGATTGTTGTGTTGTTAGTGCTAGAATGTTATGATTGACAATTTCATGCTTATACTTTCAACCTAGTAAACATCTATTGCTTTTCTGGCAGGTATGCAAACGCCAAGCGCTTCTTTGAAAATGCCCTCGGTGTGCTCCAAACGGACAGCAGCGCTGTGCTCTCCCAAAAATGGGAGCCACTTCTCAACAACCTTGGACACACATGCCGCAAGCTCAGGTGGGACTTTGCATTTCGCAATAAGTCCTCACTGAACTTGGCATTGCATGATATGCGTTAAGTTTCAATTTATTTGGAGATTAATCTTTTACGAGTGAGCTAGACTTCCAAGCCTTCTGAGCTAACGCAGACAATCCACCATGTCAGCCGCTGTCCCTTACATGCCGGTGCAAACTGGTAAAGTTTAGAAATTACAGAAAAGATGCAAGGAAGCTGGTGAACTTTCAACATTGTAAAACCCGAGACTTAGGACAAAAGAAAAAAAGGTGTTGTCCCCTTTTTTCTTCTTTTGTTCTAAGTCTGGGAGGTACAATGGTAAAGTTTGATCCGTGTGTGCCCCAAACTTCATACGCGGAAAGAAACTTACAGAATCAGGGGAATATAGCTCAACAGAGGCACATTGGACAAAGAGATAAAAAGGTGAACAAACGATCGCAAAATTCTGAATCTCTTTCAAGCCTTGTTCTAAATGCTACCCACCTGGGTATGAAGCCCGGAGCAGACGGGCTCAGAGGCAAAAACGAAAAGGATCAGGCCTAAAGGAAGAGGGCAGCCGTGGCCAGGCGGCATGCCGCAGTGCATCGGCTGCGTCAGGTGCCCCTTTTTCTTTTGGATCCAAAAACCAGGAAGGCAAATGCGACAAATGGGATTCATACAACCTAAGGGAGTTCTGTGGGACCTCTATTTGGGATTGTAAAGGTGAATAGTTATCTACATTAGAGGAAATGAGTTATAACTAGGGTTCCGTGTTTATGGAATACAGTAAAACCTCGTTATAAAGAAGTTGAAGGAGCGGTCGTAATTACTTTGTTATAACCATTAGTTTGTTATAGCCAATGTCCATTTCTTCCAACTATTCAAGCTAGGGGAATTATGATTGCTTTGTTATATCCATTTGTTTGTTATATCCCATTTTGTTATAACGAGGTTTTACTGTATATTTTTATTCAAATTCGCTATGTTTTTGGCATTTTTTTTTTTCGCAGGTTTTTCAGCATTAGTTTCTGACATACAAAAATCGCCGTTTATCGAGGCTTCTGTTGAATAAAATTGCGCAGACGATCACGTGAAGTGATACGAATGAACAGATTCAGCTGGTGCGACATTTCAATGATATTACGTCGTGATTGAGTGGAAATTTTGACAATGTTGCATCGCGCAGTAATGACACAATTTATATTTTTTTTATTTATTTCTTTTTGCGTTGTGTGGGGATTGTTACATGTGTGCTATGTGCTTATGCACAAACACTGCATAGGCACTTGGCACACACACCTTGAAGGCAGTCGGGTCACTGACTGGGTACGACGACCGAAGAACCTCGTTGCAAGCTGCCGGCAGAGAAAACAGGTCTTGCGTAAACCACAACCGATCACACAAAATGGCTAGCTCCGAGCACGTTCTCGCAGACGCGCCGCACAAATTGCTTGGTATCATTGGCGTGTCCATTCTTCACTGGGTAACATTCTCTTCTATGTGCCGCTTCAGATTAATGACGATACTACTCAAAAAGGTCAACTTTTAAACCTTTAGTTTAATATGAATGAAATTTACAGTATATATTGACAGTTGCATGGCAGAATGTAGTGCAAAGTTTCATCTGCATACATTAACTGTAAAAGAAATTATAGTTGTTTTGATCAGGAACGCACTGACTTTGTTTAGGAAAGCTATCTTTAGAAAACTGTCGTAATACCCAACTTTTTTTGTTTGCTAGATACATAGAAAAATGCCTGGAAAGTGAACTGTGAAAACATAGTTTCCAAAAAATAATTTATTTTATGCTAACATTGCAGTGAAAATGAAATAAATGTTTTACCTTTTATGTTGACAAACTCTTAACATCTTTTGTAAAGCACATCCACAAAGTAAAAAAGTAGAAGCCACAGCCGCAGTTGCGTTGCCCATTAAATTCCAGTTAGGAGAAACAGTGAACGAGCGTTGCCTTTTTTCCCATTAACTAAACGATAGTTTTAGTGAAATTTATGCCAAAAATTAGGAACTGGGAAAAACAGATTTAGGGGTGCTCCAACCCCTACCTTTTCTTCAGCACCGGTGGACCAAAAATAATTTACAAGAAAATAACTACAATAAAATACCGGACAAGCGCCCACTCAAAATTTAGATATAATCGCAAACAAATGGGGGGGGCGCTTGTCCCTATCAATTTTACATATCAATCACCTGTGCATATTTTCTCAGATCTTAGAAATTTGGAAATGGGCGCTTAATGTGGAAGGGGCGGATGCACGGTATTCTACGGTATGCAGTGTGAACTAATGAAACTTCTTGGGAATACTCTCTAGATCAGGGGTGGCCAAACCGCGGCTCGCGAGCCGCATGCGGCTCTTTGCGGGTGCAAGTGCGGCTCGCGGATCTCTCATAAGGGGACCCCCCCCCCCACCCCCTTTTCGCCCCTTTCCGCGTTTCCCCAGCAAAAAAAAGAAAGGATTTTAGAATAAACCACACTGAAGCTTGCAGTTTGACAGCCTTGTACTCCCATACGTACAGTCGTACAGCCTTCT